ACAATCCACCGCATCCCAACTCCGTGTTCGGAAAGGAGATTAAGTGTACTACGGAACCCCAAAAGGGAATAAATGGCCTACGAGATGGGAGGATAAAAAAAAAGATTTCAATACTTTCTCTCGCAATTATATCGTTGGGCAATTAAATTGCGGTCATCAGGGAGCCGCTACTAATATGCAGGGCATTAAAACCTCTTTCGAATGCGTGTTCTCATTTTACTTTCACTTTCACTTTCGAGATTCGCGATCACACGGACTCTATACTACGGAGCGGCAGTACCTACCACACATTTTACATAAAACGGTATCGATATTTATCGACGGTACACCTTCGATAACGATATAAAAAATGTTCGATATAGTGCACGATATAGTCTCGTGCTATGAGTGACTCAGACAGCACACACAAACACGAACATGAGGGCTGTGCCTGCCTGCGATGAGGAGATTGTGAGTAAAGAATGAATATTAGTCGAACTGCACTTGTCGGAAGGAGGGACTTTGTAGAAAACGAGGCGTTTGAGAGAGGCGGGGCATAGAGGACCTACAATAATGTACAGTATTTGAAAAATAATGTGTTTTTTGAACATTAAAGCATGTCAACATATTTTGTTACACCAAATACACAAAATAATGATCTTTAAAAAAGCATCATATGACCCCTTTAAAATGTGCTGCATTATTTTGCTCATTGCGCCCTCCTGTGGCCTCGGGAGACAAGACAAAAGTTTAACCTATTTAATCTGCATATAAAACATTAGAAATGAGATATTTGTTTAATTTTTATTTTGTTTTTGACTTGAAACAAAAAAATATTTGTTGTTTGTCTCAATAAATTGAGTTAATTTAAAAATACAGTGGTTAAATGTAAACATTTTTTTTTCTGTTGCTCTTTGTTTTAAAAAAGGTTATAAAAAAATTTCAGTAATTATCGACACCGAACGATATGAAACATTATATCGTTGATACATTTTTTAGCTATATCGCCCAGCCCTAACCTACCCAGTGGTGCTCAGTATCTGCAAATCATTCGCCATTGTCCTATCAGTCATCTCTCCTTACTCTGTGTATGTGTTAAGTGAACTTTCATGTACTGTAATGCAACAGTCTACCGCTGGCAAGCATGCCTTTCTGCATCACGCTTCGGGCACACCCCCTAACCCCGCCCCTCGATGACATCGTCCATCACGATGTTTCACTGTAGACATCGTCCAATGCCAATTTGCTAGACATCGCCCAACCCTAATGTCCGAGTACTGCTCTGCACACTTCAGTTGTGATGTGGGAGGGTCATGGGATCCATCCCAATCCATCAACTCCCAGATTTTCGTTTGATTGCTAATATAGACACTGTGTAAAGGGAACTGTTTGGTTTTGTTTACGGCCTTTGAAAATAGTTTTTACTAAGGTTACGCTAACTGCTTTCCAAAACCTAGTGAGCTTCCTTGCTTGCTACTACCTACATAGACAGCTACTTTCAAAGGCAGCATTTTATCCAAAATGAAACCTCATAGGTGACTGATTTAGAACAATACATGGGTGTAACTCAATATGCCACACAAAATGAGACTCACTCAATTGATTCCAGTAGTTTTACATTAGCGTGTTGCTATTCCTAAGCTAATAGCACAAACGTTGGGAACAAGTCTGTTTTTTTTAATTGGAACTTTTTATCAATACTTTTCAAATGAAATAAGTACATTGTATGCGTCTCAGTTTTCTGAACTCACTGCAATGCATTCTGGGACCTTCTCCTCTAATGATACTTGTGATTCTTCCTAATATTTTGGCTAAAGGTTCTTAATAGCACATGCCAGCCACTTGCCTTTTGGAAAGTACCTTTGCTGTCTAGGTAAGCAGGTCACTTGGTTTTGGAACAAAGCTACAATGTTCCTCTGCTTTAGCAGACTTTAGAAATGTAGTTTTTAAGATTCATCAGCTTTCAGGATCATAAAACGGTTAACTTCACACAACTCCAACTTTAGTTTCCTATTAACCTAAATTGAGAGGTCAGCAAAGAGGACCAAACCCAAAGCAGACAAGAAGTTTATAGTGTCTTTGTAGTGATTAATTCTGCTGACATGTCAACTTACTTAAGCATCTTTCCATGCTAAAGGAAGGTGTTTGAATAATAATAAACCACTTTATCTTTTGTGTTTTGTTCTGTGTTCCTAAAGCTGGCAAGGTGTAGGTCTCTCATGTGTTCATGTTTTGGAATATTAAAGGTAAAGTCCTGTGGTAAAAGCATGATGTGTTTTCCTCCTAACCACTTTCACTATGTGCACACCCATCCAACCACATGCGAATGTCCCCGCCTGTTTGTAATTTACAAGTTGATGCCATAGAGATGACTTTTTTTTTTCTTCAAACCTCACTGGTGTGGGCCGCATGATTAGTTGTAGGCTGGAGGAACCAAACAGCAAGAAGGGAAGCTTGGGTAGTATCTGTTCTGGTAGTATCTGGTTATCATAAGATCAGCTTTCTAGCATTGCTGAGAGGAGCTTGTGCAACCTCAAGTTGGTGTTTTTGAAGCACAATCTGATTAAAAAAATGCTGTCAATCTTGAGATTGTTTTTGTTTTTAAACTAAATGTAATTTTTTTTTTACAGATTTCTTCCCCTCACTAGCATAACCACCTCCTGCATGTGGATGTTGCTGTTTTACATAAAAATTAACTTTCTGAGTGATTGTTAACTTTGTTTTGCTTATTGATTTGCCTAGAAATTAAAAAGGGTTCAACCCTGTTACTTTGACTCTGTGAGAAGATATGATCTGCAGATGGCTAGAGAAAGGAAAGGATCTTGAGTTTCCAAACTAGCTGACATTCAATATTGTTTTGCTTATCGATTTACCTTGGATGAATAAATGGGTTCAACCCTGTTACTACGACTCAGTGACAAAAGATGACCTCTACATCGTCACTTACCAAACTAGTTGACATTCAGTAATTTTTTTTAACATTTATTTTGGAAAGATAAAACGGTTTAGCTATACGATTTGTTATGACTTTATGGGAAAATATGATCTATAGATCACCACTTTCCAAACTAATTGATGTTAAGTATTGTTTTACTTATTGATTCATTTTGGAAAGACAAAATGGTTCAACTCTGTTACTCTGGTTTTATGAGAAAAGATGACCTCTAGATCTTTACTTTCCAAACTAATTGACATTCAGTATTGCTGTGTTTATTGATTCACCTTTGAAAGATAAGTGTTCAATCCTGTTCGTATAACGTTACTATATGCTCTATGAGAAAAGATGACCTGTACACCTTCACTTTCCAAACTAGTTGACGTTCAATATTACTGTGCTTATCATTGGAAAGATAAAAAGGTTCAATCCTGTTACTATGACTTTACAAAATGTTGTAAAGTTAAGGTAGTGAATATTCATTTTGAAATATTCAATTCATATTCATCCTGTTAAAAAAAACAAAACACATTTTACAGATCTCTCAGCTTAGATAGCTTTGGAAAATTCCTTTCCTTAGTTTTGCCTTCAGTATGTCTCTTTTTCTTTGGGGGCGGGTTGTAGGTGGACAAGTTTGAATCCTCATTTGTTGTGCTGGCAGTTTGATTTCACTCTCATCCTGGCAGTTTGATTTCACTCTCATCCCACCCCAGCCAAATCTTTACTCTGCGGCATGTGGAGCAACACGGGAACAGATGCTTTGAGGGCTTTTCAGTTCAGCTCGGCTCCAGATTATTCTGAAGCTTTTGGCGTGTCGTCTGTGTATGAGTTGCCTTTTAGCAGCTACATGCTGTTTCTCTTGTGCACACATTTCGGCTCACCTGCAGCACCTCACTGTGCGTTACTGAAGCAGCTGGGGCAGATGCTTGAACATCTGTCTCCAAATTCCCTCATGTAAAAGACATTCAATTGAGTCATCCAGAGAACACCTCAAGCTAGTTTAAGCAGGAAAAAGGGTGTTAGGCGTGTGAAATTGGTTGATACTGAGATAGTCATTAATGAGAATCTCATAACTTGTTTCCCAAACATCTAACCAGTCATGTTAACTGTAAATGGGTTTGGAGTGATTTTAACATTAAACCAAGATTTTAACTCTTAATCAAGACAAACCAACAAGTTAAATGAGTGTTGCAGTTCTTTTTTCTCTTCATGTTAAAATGCTTTAACAAAAAGTTAAATGCAGTGATTTAATAATTTTGGTTAAAATAGCATTTTAAAGAAAACTTCATTCAATTTTTATTGGAGTTCCTTTAAACACCACTCTAATGAAAACCATGTTAAATGAATGATTAAAATTGCATTACTACTGATACAATTTCCAATTTTGGTAAGAAAAATGCATTTTCTATATTAAAGAAAACCGAGTTTAATGATTGATGCAGTTTTATGCATTTTGTTTAGTTTGTTAAAATGTTGGTTTGTTAAAAAGTTTAACAGTTGATATAAATTGCATAATGTAACAATCTACATTTTAATTTCTGAAATTTAAATGCAAATGTTGTACATTTTGAAAGATTGTTAAATTATTTTGTTGACTAAACCAACTCTCTTGGTTTAACATGGTTTTAGAGTAACATTTTACATTTTAGTCATTAATGCAGTTTTTTTTTTTCTCATTACAGTTTTGTTTCTGTAAAATGCAAGTTAACCATTGATGCTGTTTAGAACTTTTTTGAATTACAAAAAGTTTAATGATTGATGTACATGTCGTTTTTGTTAATAACTTGCAGGAAAGTTGAACTACTAAAACTAAATAAAAAATTTCTACAGATAAGTTATGCAACTTTATGCTATTTGAGTTTCATCTTCAATAAAATGGAATGAAAACTACATTGAACAATTGATGTAATGCAAGCTATCCAAAATAAATCGCATATTTAAAATGTATTCTTGAACTTTGATTGCAGTTTAATGCATGTTTTTCTTTCCAGTCGTTTACACTGACCAGAAAGAGGATTGTGCACTACACCAGCTTTGACCAGCGCAAAAGGGCTAACGCTGCTGTGCTCATCGGTGCTTATGCTGTGAGTATCCCACTTCCATTTGTCCTTCTGTCTTCCTCTCTTACTGCCATTAATTACTTTCACCGGAACTCGAGGATTTGCATCCAGGGCGGAATCTGTCATGGCCCTGCAAATTAGCCACTCAGCTTTTTCCATCAAAACCAACAGTCCTCCCACATCGACAGCAAATTTGTTTGTCGTACAAAGTCTTCTCGGATGTTTGCCAGCGTCCTCATACCAGACTCCCCCTCAGAGACAGCGACAGAGTGCTGACTGACTGGTAGTCCCCCCGCTTTGTGGCAGCACAATAACTATGTCCTTGACTGGCTCGAATGCCAGTTTGTCCTGTTCCACTGCATTGATTCATCTAGACCACCACGTACACAGCGGCCCTTGTGAAACGCCATGACCGTATGAGCCATGCCAGCTGATTGCGCCATTGGACATCTCCACTCTTCCTGTTCCTGGCACTCTCAAGGAAGTACTCCGGTCTGGGCAGATTTATTGCTCAGATGGCACCGTTGGCTTTGTCAAAGGCACAGGTGCCAGCTGTAATGTGGGTTAGTGTACCATTCTGATAAGCCCTTCTTTTAAATGACTACCCAGTTTTAAAGGGTCATGGCACCAATTTTTTTTATAATATTCATAACCTGGTCTGCACATTTACTCAAGTATATTCAGTTTATTTGTGCTGATTTGTACTGACAAAGCAGCTACTATTTCACTATGAGATAAGAATGCTTCTGTCCTCATGAATATTGATGAGCCCTAAATGGCAACATGGAAAGGAAGTGATGCTTCTCCAGTTTCCTTCAAAGAAGCCATTGTTAACTTATCCCAACATGAACTGCAAATTGAAATATTAGGGAACCGAAAAGGGTGGTAGTGTTATACAATATCAGCATCCTTTTTTCCTGATTCTGGGCTATTCAAAGAGGGGGGATCTAATGTTCCCTTGCTTTCAATTGGATGAGGGCCATAACAAGTTATAATCTGGCTTTTTGTGTAATCTGACTTTGGACTGTGTGCCACCATAAATCCTGTGTTGGATGTTTGTAGCTGTGACTCAACTTTCCACTTTTTTGGTTCCCTTGTAAATGGAATTGACCTTATTTTGCAAAATAAATTAATAATAATAATAATTTTTTAAAAATGCAGTATTTACACTACCGGTCAAAAGTTTGGAATAATTAAGATTTGTAAATGTTTTTGAAAGATGTCTCTTATGCTCAGCATATTAGAATAATTTCTGAAGGGTGTGAAAAGTTTACATAAGTCTACATTCATAATAATAGTATAATTAAAAAAAAAAAAACATTTTAACTGTAAAACATCACATGCAATTCACAACTCAGTTTACAGTTGGGATAAAACAAGTTATTTATATGTATATTTTGGGGAGAAGTGTAAATAGAACTTCCATAAAATGAAATGATGAACTTGAAATGACAGTGTACGGCGTTCAGAAGTTCATGAGGAAAACCTCACAGAAAACCTGACGAAGAATCTAGAGAAAATGTGGGCTGCTTTATTTTTTTATCTTTGCGATTCTAATTATCTAGCAAATATCCATCAAAGTTGGTGTACTTCCTCAAAATCGGTCTACTAGGAATGGTCACATTTAACCTCCCAGTCTAAATTTAGTATGAACCTTGATCCCGGTGTTAATTTAGTCGTCTTAAATGGAAACTCATTTTAGCTACCTTCAAAAACCCAACCTCTGGAGACGGCCATCAAATCATGCAGATTCTCTCCTATAGACTCAATAAAGTGCTCAAGGTGAACTAGTGTTTTAAGTAATTCTCTCATATATTACCATAATCATCTCCAAATTGCATAAAACCTTGTTTCTGTTCTGCGTGGTCTTGCCTGTCACTCTTTGCATGCATGGACATGTGTTCAATGTAATGTTTTTGTCTTTCTGCACTTGTAGTGAATCTTCTGTAAGTAGGTTTTTATTGATCCAGGCTTGTGTGGGATGTGCTCCTCTGGCAAGCGCAGATCATGTGACTCTGAAGACTGGAGTAATGATGCTGAAAATTCAGCTTTGCATCACAGGAATAAATGTACATTTTAAAATGCATTAACATAGAAAACTGTTATTTAAAATTGTAATAATATTTCACAATATTAGTGTTTTTGTTGTATTTGTAATCAAATAAATGCAGCCTTGGTGAGCACAAGAAACTGATTTGAAAAACATTAGAAAAGCCTTAATTATTCCAAACTTTTGACCAGTTGTGTACATTAAATCTGACATTTTTAATTTGGGTCTGAGCAACTTTCATATGCCTGTCACTCTTTGCATGCATGGACATGTGTTCAATGTAATGTTTTTGTCTTTCTGCACTTGTAGTGAATCTTCTGTAAGTAGGTTTTTATTGATCCAGGCTTGTGTGGGATGTGCTCCTCTGGCAAGCGCAGATGTTTGCTGCTGATCTGCCCTGCAGTAGATGACCCAGTTTTTTCGTATGAAGGAGATTATTTGTACTGGTTGAACAGCTGGGCCAAGATCTTCCATCAGAGTCACATGGGACAGTAGGGCGCAACACAAACAAACAAGCGCTGACACTTCTCACGGGACTGAACTTAATCTGCTGAACTGTTCTGCTAATTGTTTGATCGGTGCATATTTCATGAGCTTGTGCACAAATTATAAAGCTCTGGCCTCCTGCAGAACAGGCAGCCTTCCAAAAACAGACACTTGACCTCACACCTAGTTCGTGTGTTGTGTTTTGTCAAGTACTGGAGATCTTAAAAATATTAGTTCAACCAAAAATGAAAATTCTGTTATTTATGTTGTTTCAAACCTCTATGACATTTTACTGTAGAACAAAAAAGAAGATATTTTGAAGAGTGTGCAGGTCGCTCTTTTCCATGCAGTTACAATGAATGGAGACTGAGGCTTTCAAGCTTCATAAAAGATGCAAATGCACCAAAAAAGTAATGTAAAATGGCCCATATGACTACATGACTCTATATTCCACATCTTCTGAAGCTGTACGATCAATTGTTAGCACATTTTCTAGAATTTTTTCATCTGAAATGTGCTGCAACGTATATAATGCAGTTAACGTGATGCATGCAAAACATTTGGATTTGTGTCGAATGAGAGCGATACGTTTTAACCAAGTTTATTTATATAGCACATTTCCCACACGCCATTAGTTTTAGATTCATTCAGTTTCATTTTAATTACTGGTATTTTACAACCCTCTACATTGCGAGTAACACACTCGCATATGCGACTAAATTTTACTCTGGGCGCTTCAGAGTTTCGCTCTCAATCAAACGATCTGTACTTTTTCAATTCATCTTAATGGATGCGCAGTGCACCTGTATTTGATGCACAGTAAACTAGTGTGGAGGCGCATGACTCGCCGTCACTTTGCTGATAGAGCTGTGTTTCTCATACATGCAAAGAGAGAGAACGACAGTCTTACACACCACGCTGAATCGACGCGCTACATGGAAACCATATTCTTTGTTGTATTTTCCTGTCAAAATAGAGTTCATTTGGAATTATTCAGCTTTTAAAAATAAGCAGAAGATATGCCGGTTTCTCCCACAGTGGGCGGAACTAATGCGCAAATGACATCTCATTGGCTAGCACTCATCTATTACCGTCCCTGTTTTGATTTAAGCAAATCAGTTCGAGGGAACGCTGACAATGTGATTAATATTCATGAACCCAGCATCTCATCAGATCTTAGTGTGTTGTATGTTGTTAGTAAAGTAGTAGAACTAGTAGTATTATCTTTTAATAATAATTACTATTATCTATTACTATTATAATTTTTTTTAACGAAACCCTGAATGGCCAACAATATCTTTATCACCACAAGTTCAGTTAAAATGACAAATAAGCATTCATACACGGTTACCAAGTTTTAGTTCTAATCACTATCAAAACCGAGCTACGTACCGAACCGTCATGTTTGTGTACCGTTACACCCCTTATGTATGTATGTATGTATGTATGTATGTAAATGAGTGTGTGTGTGTGTGTAAAATAGTATATCAGTCTGGTGACTAAACTAACAAATTTACTAGCCAATGGCGATTATATTGCCAAGTTGTGCGTAGAGGGTTGTTTTAGATTATTTTGTGAATGTAAATAATAGTCAGGTATGACTTACTTTCTTGGAAAATATGGGAGTTATTTGCAGAATCACGTTCATAGGAGAAATAGCTATGTCAGATTTGTGAATGAATCATTCTTTTTAGTTTAATCATTTCAGTGAATCGATTCACAAAACTGGTCTGAATGATTTGTTCAAAAATAGAGGAAAATTGAGTCAAAAATTACTTTTAATTTTATAGTTTAATGTTTTTGAAGCTTCACAAACAGTTTCCATTTTTTGTAATATGGAAAAGAGCGACTAGCACAAACTTCAAAATTTCTTCATTTATCTTCCATGGATAAGATAACATTTAGAAAGAACTGAGTGAGAGTAAATTACATTATTTTCATTTTTGAGTTTTTCTGTGTTAATGCGTGTTGGGCTTTGACGGAGTTCACATAGGTTTCTTTTCCATGTTGCCACCATCCTGCTGCATTCTGACATCAAGCCACAGAAATGTTGAAGGAGTGAGCGGAGTTCTTATTATAGAGTCCTTTCTTTCCATGATGTCAAGAGGGATTGACGTGGATGTAGGGAGTAGATGACCGCTAAAACTCATCGCTTCAGCAAGTCTGTGTGTGTGAGACTCCCGCACTGTGCCGTGACAAGTCGTCCCAGCTTGACAAGGGCCCCATTGTGCTGAGCCACAGCATCTCATCTGTGTGACACATTCTGCCTGAACATCACTTTCCTGAAAGTGCATTTGTGTATGGGATAATGAGGAACACGGACAGACATGGATAGGAAAAAATATTGAATAGGCAGTTAGGAAGTAGCAACGTCTGATTTGTGTATAAATTGTTCTTTCTAGAAGTCAGATTGTAATTAACAAAACATTTTTGGAAGAAAAATCAAATGTCATTTTGCACGATTGTCAACTAAAATATTATTTTCATTTTGGCCAGGGTGAAATTGTCTAAAATGATGAAATGTTGGCTAAATTTGAAGGATAAAAAAAAAAAAAAACTGGGCATCTAGAAATGAATAGTTTTCCCCTAATTGGTTAATCTGATTGGAAACCATCTGAATGAACAGTGTTCAATTTTAGTGCCATTTAAAAACAATTATAGTATTTACTAATATTTTAAGTTGGGTTTTATTTTTAATTTAATATTCAGTTTTCATTATAATTTTAGTTTAAGTTTTGTTTTGTTTTAAGTTTGTGTTTTGTCATTTTTATTTGTTTATTTTTTATATATTTTAAATATAGTATTCAATTTTTTCTATATAGCTATAATTTTTTCAATTTTAGTTTTAGTAATTTTAGTAGTTGCTGATTTTTGTTAGTTTCTAGTGCAACAATTTTAATTTAAGTTAAGTTTGTTTTTCATGTAATATTTATATTTAATTTTATTTCAGCTTTTTCAATTACCACAAAAATAATTTTTACAAAATAATTTACCAATAATTACCAAAAATAATTTTGAATGGTTTTAGTTAACAATAACAACACTGATGTTAAAGTTATAGAATTAGTACCTAGCATTCAGCTTCTTTGCTGTTGCTCTAATGTCACTTCCTTTCCTTTTTCCTGTCTCAGGTGATTTACCTGAAGAAAACACCTGAGGAAGCCTATAGAGCTCTTATCTCCGGCTCCAATGCCTCATATCTTCCCTTCAGGTAAGACGGCTGCATAGCCACATCATCTGCACAATGGAATTAAAAAAATGCAAAAAAAATGTCAATTGTTACCAAACCTTTGCTAATATATATTTTGCCTCATTTCCCCCACTTTCCTCTCTCTCCCTCACTTTTTGCACAGTGCACTCTAATCTGATTTCGCACGAAGTATTGTCTCTCCTGTGGCTCACACGTTTTTAATGCGATAAACTTCTTTGCCCAGATAAATAAACAGGCAAAGTGGAAGAACCGCACGGCCGTTTTTGCAAGCCATGAAGCTGAGAGGCCAGATAGTTGTTGTGCATCTATATTGTGATGCTCATAATTGCAGAAGGATTAGATTATTTTGCTCCTGCGGGTCGACATCTCTTGCCTTTAATTTGGGATTACGGCCTGGTCAGTGCACTCATGTAATCTCTCTTCTTGAGCTGAATTTTGGACTCGGTTCCAAACTGTCGCAAAGGACAGGACACTAAAACCTTTGAGCTGACTGCCATACATAAGGGTGAGTAGGACATACGTAAGGCCCTTGAGCAGGAGGAAAACCATCTGTGGCAAGTTCTAGACTCAGTGCAGATGGTGTGTAGTGGTAATCTACACTGTCAGATTTGTGAATGGTTAGAGAAAGGCACAATTCTGTTGTGAATGGGTCTTCCTGTTGGATAATACTGTTGCCATTTTAAAACAAGAATAATAGGTGTTCACTTTTACTTTTGTGTAACTTTTTTTTGTTTTTGTTTTTTTTTGGAAGGTGTTAGTGTTGAGATTGAATCACTAGACTTTAGTGGTAATTTATTATTAGTGTTCCCATGCAGTATAATGTTTAAAGGGTGATTAAATAAATAAATAGGTAGGATTGCAATGGAAGACAGGAAAAAAGACAATAGTGTTGGAGTCATGGCTTGGTGGTTAGCATGCAAAAAAATAATTATGTATATATAATATATTAAAAAAATATATATTACATAATTCTAAATAATAAATGGAATATATAATAATTTGGCCTTAAATATTTATTAATGTTAAATATATTCTTTTAAATGTTAATATAATATTAAGTATCTTTTAATTAATAATGTTTAATAATTTATCAATTTCTTTATTAAATGGCCTAAATTTATAACTAATATTACATTTTATGTAATATATATTTATATATGTGATATGGCCTTAAATACAAATTTATTTTTAATATTCAGACATTTTTTAATATTTAAAAAAAATATGAAGTGTCTTCTAATTAATAGCTTTTATTGAATAATTTCTTAATTGAATTGCTTAAATGTAATTAAAACTAAATGATTAAAAACTTTGCAAAGGTGAGAGAGAAAGAATAGGTTTAAAACAATATTCCAGGTTAAATTCTGGGGAAATTGACTCGTATCTCACTTTTGAAAACAAACTGCATTATGTAGTCCATAATATTCCTTTTACAGTTTTATTGTGGTCACATGATGATTAATGTCTCCACATGAATATTAATCTATTTTTCCAGTCATGCTCTATGTAAGACAGTTGTGGATTTGTGCCGGTGTGACTGCTGTTTGGTTATTCCACCACCCAGTCGCCCAGTTAAAGGCACAATATGTAATTTTCGCCGCTAGAGGGCGCGTATTCAAAATAAACAGAGATGTAGTTTGATGATGCCGTGACTGAGTGTGGAATCATGGGAGTTGTGGTCTTCATCCCCACAGTAGAGGTCTGCACAGGCTTTAAACTGAAGCCCGAACCCACCCGTACCCGAGATCGTCTGACCCAGCCTGACCCGACCCGAGCGGCACAGTTCAATTTAGAGCCCGAACCCAACCCGAAATCTTTTTTTTTTTTTTTCACAACGAATAGCCAATTTAAAAAAAAAAATGCTGTATTTCACGATTGCATGCAACGGTCAGTAAACAAATACATGTAAAGAAACAGAATCATTAAGGCTCGGCCAGTTCACAAGGCAAAAGAAAAAACAC